AAAAATAAAGAAGTTGGTATATCCACCTGCTTTCATGGGATTAGCTGCCTCTATCTATTATCCACAACAAGCCATCAGCTTTGCCCAGGTAAGTTAGACCCAGTAAGCTAGGATGACCCTCACTCTTATTTGTGTATGTATAGATTTAATTTTCATTTTATTTTGCAGTTTTTACTATACCAGACTAAAACTAATTTGCACGTATAGATGGACTGCAGCAAATTTAAATGTTTTTCTCCATTAAGTTCCTTAGTTCTGACCTTCTTTCCAGTGATTACAATGTTCAGAGAAGATATGCTAATTTGAATACTAATCAAGGAAAATTAAAATTATTTTGCATATTTATATGGCAATATTGTTGTTGTTGTTGTTATGTGCCGTCGAGTCAGCCCTGACTCATAGCAACCCCTCCTTGGGTTTCCGAGGCAGTATCACTACGGAAGTAGGATTGCCCAACCTTCCTTCCGGGGAGTGGCTGGTGGGTTTGAACTGCCAGCCTTCTGGTTAGCAATCAAGTGCCTTAGCCACTATGCTACCAGAGCTCCCATATGGCAATATAGAGACTCAAATTTCAAAACTGCTAATTTATGACCGTTCTCAGTTTGGTCATTATCTGATCACAACCTTCTTTTCCTGGCATTGCATGTACAGACTGTGCTCTGGCCCTCCGAGCCTTCTCTCTGGTCCTGGTACCAGCTTGCTTTTCCCTACTGGGACTTTGGGGCATGCAGGCCCCTCTGCCGGGAATGCCTTTATCAGGGCTCTCAGTTTTCTTTCTTTTTTGGTAATTTATTTTGTTTTTACTGTTGTTGAGGAGACATACACCAATTCAACAATTTTTACATGTATAGTCTTAAAAATGGCTTGGGGAAGGCATCTCACCTCCTCTGTTTGCAAGGTAAAAGATAAAATCATTATCTGTATCAACAGCCTGAGGCTGATTCATATGAGGTGGAGGTCAGACATGCCTCTGCCCTCCAAACTTTTTACCAATTCTGACACCAGCTGTCCCTCTCATATCACTTTCTACTTCTCTGCTGGGTTCAATAATTCATTGCAGTGGCCACACACAACTCACAGACAGTACTTACCATTATGGAGTTTGTAGT